CACATCTGCACACATATGTTCATGCTCATTACTATGCTTATGGGTGTTTTCATAGATTCGATTTTTTGTTTTATTGGTTCAGATTTATCACATAATAACATTTCACGGATCGAATGATTACGATATCAAACGATCGAATCGATTCCGGATTCACGGATCGACATGATGTGATTCAACGGATCGAATACTCCGATTCGTGAATGAATCATGCGATCCGGGAAATCGAATCACATCCGTGAATCGGGGAATCATGTCGATCGCTGAATCGATCATTCGATCCGCCTGGATGGAAAATAGAGGAAAGACGGACGAGGCTATATGAGGAGGGGAGAAGCGTGGTACAGGAGGAAGGCAGAAGAAGTAGAGGCGGGGAGAAAGTAGTGGGGAGGAGGAGGAGAAAAAGGGTGGGGTAAAGAAGGTACGAAAACGAGCTGAAAAGGCTAGTGAGGAGAGGAGGGGGAAAGGGGCAGCGAGCGCTATAAAAAAACAATGGGGACAGGAAGATAGAAAAATGTACAGAAGGCACGGTCGAGGAAGAGACTAGTAGAGGTGGTCGAGGAGGAGGTGGAGTGTGGTGGGGAGGAGGGGGAGCGGGTTAGAGCGGGAGGATGTTGGTGGAGGGGAGGGGGAGGGCTGGAGATAGGGGACAGAGCGAAGGTAGTGGAGGGGGAGAAGGTGAAGAGGGAGGAGGAACGAGGATGGTGAGGAGAGGTAGGAGGGGAGAGGAGATAGAAAGGGGTAAGGAGAGGATGCGTGGAAGAAGACGGAGGAGTAGAAGAGGGGGAGAAAGTGGTGGAGGAGGAGGGGGAGGAGGAGGGTAAAAGGTGGTAAAAGGAGGGAGGGAGGGAGGGAGTCGAGGTGGTAAGTGAGTGAGTGAGAGAGCGAAGGAGGGAGGGAGGCCTGTTCACCGGCCGGCCCGCAGAATGCACAATATATTGTAAGCGGGCAAATCCCACACGCCAGGGAAGTGATGGCGATGCGAGAACGCAACCGGTGTCAGGGGGAATGTACAAAACAGAGACGGGAAGGTCAGCGGTCGGGCCCGAGATCAAAGTGAGCCGTGGCTCGGGACAGAGCCGCGGCCAGCCGGAAAGCACGTAATTCCGTGAAACAAAACAAAGCATTCGATCCGTGAATCGAAGCATTCGATCCGTGAATCAAAGCATTCGATCCGTGAATCGAAGCATTCGATCCGTGAATCAAAGCATTCGATCCGTGAATCGAATGATTCAATTCCAGAATCGAATGGTTTGATTCGCAGATCGAATGATTCGATTCCAAAACCGAATGGTTTGATGCCAGAATCGAATGATTTGATTCTCTTTTCTGATATAAAATCAAATAATGTGAACATTTAAAACAGGGAATTATTGTCGATTTATTGCATATAACATAAGATTAAATAATCAAATATTATATGCGATAAATCAAATGTTATATGCAATAAATCAAATGTTATATGTAATAAATCGAATGTTATATGTGATAAATCGAATGTTATATGTGATAAATCGAATGTTATATGTGATAAATGGAATGTTATATGTAATAAATCGAATGTTATATGTGATAAATCGAATGTTATATGTGATAAATCGAATGTTATATGTGATAAATCGAATGTTATATGTGATAAAATCAACCATAAAACAAAAATCGAATTATGAAACAAAAAACATGCCATAGTAGGCCAATTAACGAGGATTGTAAGTATCGTATCTATGGGCTTGCCTGACAAGCATCTTTTCCACCGTTGATCAGATCTCCAGCGCAGACCATGGAGTTGGTGATGATGGAGTCACTACCGTACTTTTCCTGACAGGTCGCATCTGAGGTGACCACCACGACAACCTCCTGAAGACTAGTCGAGATTGAGCCATCTGGTGACAGATATCGAAATCGAAAACTAATTAGAAACGATATCTAAGGAAGTAAAATAATAATCAAAAATACAATAAAGGAAGTACTAATGCAGTACTTCCGTTTTCAGACGAAGTCATACAGTGAAGCGATAGCCGCAATCCGCCGAACGTTAGTATATATATATATATATAATATAAATGAAGACACGGACTTCGCGCTTGATTCAGGCGATCGTATCACAGCAATTGTGTTTGGCAATGTGTCGCCGATGCAAATATGAAACTATCGATGTAAATCCCGATAGAATGTGCGACGATACCTCATCTCTCTGAAACCACTCCCGCTATAGGAATACTAGAGTATAAATCGCAGACGCGCAGACGCGCCCCTATATAACATCGAGAGCGTATTAAGTATACTTAATAAGCTCTTGATAACATTTTCACGTTTGTCTGTATTCTGTCTGAACGTCCGTCAGTTATTACCGAACATAGTTGTCCCCCATCCTGTGACTGTCGTTGATTGGCCGACCAGATCATTGGTATCAGTAGTCGACAAATTGATCGGCTGAATTAGATCCGTGAAGGTCACCGGATCACTGAGCAGCAACATGGAGATGTCGTTGTCGATCGTTGCCGAAACGTAATTGGCGTGTTGCGTGAATCTCAGAACCTGGACAAAAAATCGCAAGAATTATTGTGCTTCCTAGAATAGAATAATAGAATAGAATAGAATTAGAATCGAGCGAATTGGAATCGAATGGAGTGAAATAGACGCGAAAGTCATGCAGGAAATTCCAGCAGGTATATATATCCAGCAGGTATATATATAGCCAGGTTCGATATATAGCAGGTTTATATATATCCAGCAGGTATATATAGCAGGTATATATTCCAGCAGGTATATATATTATAATATCCAGAGCCCATACTATTACTGCTGTAGTATTATGGGCTCCTTAGATTATTTTCATCATTAAACATTTTAATCGACGTTAACAATAACAAATTAGTACGGGAAAAACTTGCCAGTTCCTGTCCGACCCTTACTTACTTATTAATGTAACATGAAGGATAAACGAGCGGAGAAATCTCAGAGGGCAAGGATATGGGTATAGAGGTTACGCTGAAGGATATTTTAGCATAGGTAGTTTTGACAGAGCTCTGCATGTACTTACCTGGCGTAACGGAGCGTTCCTATCCCGCAACTGGTTGGTACCAATCCTTACGAATATATCGTATCCTCGTCTCCTAAGGTTACAAATAATTCATTATTATAATAATAAACAATATTCTACAGTCTCATATACAAGTAAATGCATCGCGATTGTGAACTGTAGTAAAACAATTCCAAATTATTACTGTATAATCGTAAAATGTAATTGTATCGTGAACGTTTACGTTTTCGTATGTTCACTTAATTTGCGATGTAACAGCAATGTTTTACTATAATATAAAATCCCGCAACTGCACTCGCGCACACTATAAACAGAACGAAGACAATTTTAACTTCTGACATATATAAATATATATCGTTGGCTAGCTCACCCAGTAGTGAGGCCCTCGGTGCAGTGAGCAGCAGTTAGAATGTGTCGGTCGCTAATGAGTACCCCGCCACAGTGGAACGTCGGAGCTGATCGAACGAATAACCTTCTACGTCGGATAAACATAGCCACCTATACGGACATCGAACATAAAAAAAATCGTTTTTTAAATGCCATATACAGCAAAGAGTATAAACAAGTGTATAAGTTATGGAACTAATAATAACAATAATAATAATAATTATTATTATTATTATTATTATTATTATTATTATCTTCATCATCATCATTGTGCTGCAGTAGCAGGTGTCTGTGAGACACTTTAATAGTTCGCGTTACCGTATCTATGCTCTTGTACCCAGAGAAGGGCGCGTTTCGTTTGTAGTCTGAATCTGTATGGCGCATGCAACAATGTTATCGGTGATGTTATATGCTGGCGTACACGAACCTCTTGCTAGATATGCAAGGTCAACGATGCCACCGCCGGCAGTGGCTTAATGCAACTAGCACCAAGTCATTATTCCTATTGATCTTGCTATCATATTACCAAGAGTCCATAATAGAGAATATTCTCTATAGTCTCTATTATGGCCTCTTGATATTACCTGCCACGGGTATTCTCCATCGTCCGCCGTTGTTCCGCCTACTATTCGTGTGTTGTCTCCGGACGGTGCTTGGCTACCTTGGTCAGATTCTCCTCTCGGGTCCGTGGGTGCGTTCACGACATCTGTATATACAGGGCGATGATCGACTGTGATTCTACGCTATAATCTCCGTGAAAGATTGACATGACATTTCGTAAAATTGCGGCTCGATATTAAACAATGATTAACGAGGAGATAGCCTACCGTTGTTGTTTGCAGAACTCTGCACCGTGACGGTGCGCGTCGCTATGTCGTTTCTCACGCCAGATGACGGCAATCGCGGCCATGTTGGGGTACTGACGGTTTCCTGATTCCGCTGCCTTCGTCTGACTCCGCCTCTCCGGCGAGGAGTACGTCCACCCGCCTGTCCGCCACTCACTCTCCGCCCAGCAGCACGTAGGCCCGTAGCAGCCGTCTCTATGGCGCGTCTGATGTTCCCTCCTCTATCCTGTGCTGGCGCAAGTTTGTCCGTCTGTTCACCGGTAAGCTTGGTCCTCCGTCCAGCATTCGGTCCGCGTCTCCGTCCCGTAGCACGTCCGCCCGTAGTTGCGTCAGAAGTCTCGCTCGTGGCGTCAGCGTCAGCGTTGTCGTCAGCGTCATTTCTCCCGCGTCCGACAAAGAGATTAATGAGTCCTCTACGATTCTGGCCAGTGGTCTGTCCGCTCCTTCGCCCACCCGTACGTTCGCGCCTTACTTGATTAAAGCGTTCTCGCCTCGCCTCATCAGTTCGTCCGCCCCTCCGCTCCGTAGCACGTCCGCCCGTAGTTGCGTCAGAAGTCTCGCTCGTGGCGTCAGCGTCAGAGGTTTTGCTCGTGGCGTCAGCGTCAGAGGTTTTGCTCGTGGCGTCAGCGTCAGAAGTCTCGCTCGTGGCGTCAGCGTCAGCGTTGTCGTCAGCGTTGTCGTCAGCGTCATTTCTCCCGCGTCCGAAAAAGAGATTGACGAGCCCTCCACGATTCTGTCCAGTGTCTCTCCGCTCCTTCGCCCACCCACCGTACGTTCGCGCCTTACTTGATTAAAGCGTCTTCGCCTCTCCTCATCAGTTCGTCCGCGCCCCCTCCGCTCCGTAGCACGTCGCCCGTAGTTGCCGTGCAGAAGTCTCGCTGCTCTGGCGTCAGCGTCAGAGGTTTTGCTCGTGGCGTCAGCGTCAGAAGTCTCGCTCGTAGCGTCAGCGTCAGCGTTGTCGTCAGCGTCAGCGTTGTCGTCAGCGGTCATTTCTCCCGCGTCCGAAAAAGAGATTGATGAGCCCTCCCACGATTCTGTCCAGTGGTTCTGCTCCACTCCTGCGACCACCGTACGTTCGCGCCTTACTTGATTAAAGCGTTCTCGCCTCTCCTCATCAGTTTGCGACGTCCGCCCCTCGCTCCGTAGCACGTGCGCCCCGCGTAGTTGCGTCAGGTGATTCGACCGTGCGTCAGAGTCAGAAGTCTCGCTCGGCGTCAGCGTCAGAGGTCTCGCTCCGTGCAGCAGCGCAGCGGCAGATGTCTCGCTCGCGGCATGCAGCGTCAGAAGTCTCGCTCGCGGCGTCAGCGTCAGCGTTTCGTCGCGTTTTCGTCAGCGTCATTTCTCCCGCTCGCGAAAAAGAGATTGATGAGCCCTCTACGATTCTGTCCAGTGGTCTGTCCGCTTCTCCGCCCACCCGTACGTTCGCGGCCTTACTTGATTAAAGCGTTCTCGCCTCTGCTCATCAGTTCGTCCGCCCTCCGCTCCGTAGCACGTCCGCCCGTAGTTGCGTCAGAAGTCTCGCTCGTGGCGTCAGCGTCAGAGGTTTTGCTCGTGGCGTCAGCGTTAGAAGTCTCGCTCGTGGCGTCATCGTCAGCGTTGTCGTCAGCGTTTCGTCAGCGTTATTTCTCCCGCGTCCAAGAAGAGAGATTGATGAGCCCTCACGATTCTGGCCAGTGGTCTGTCCACTCCTTCGCCCACCGTACGTTCGCGCCTACTTGATTAAAGCGTTCTCGCCTCTCCTCATCAGTTCGACCGCCCTCCGCCCCGTAGCACGTCCGCCCCGTAGTTGCGTCAGAAGTCTCGCTCGTGGCGTCAGCGTCAGAGTTTTGCTCGTGGCGTCAGCGTCAGAAGATCTCGCCTCGTGCGTCAGCGTCAGCGTTGTCGTCAGCGTTTCGTCAGCGTCATTTCTCGCGTCCGAAAAAAGAGATTGATGAGCCCTCTACGATTCTGGCCAGTGGTCTGTCCACTCCTTCGCCCACCCGTACGTTCGCGGGCCTTACTTGATTAAAGCGTTCTCCGCCTCTCCTCATCAGTTCGTCCGCCCTCCGCTCCGTAGCACGTGCGCCCGTAGTTGCGTCAGGTGATTCGACCGTGGCGTCAGAGTCAGAAGTCTCGCTCGCGGCGTCAGCGTCAGAGGTCTCGCCCGTGGCAGCAGCGGCAAGCGGCAGATGTCTGCGCTCGCGGCATCAGCGTCAGAAGTCTCGCCCGCAGCGTCAGCGTCAGCGTTGTCGTCAGCGTTGTCGTCAGCGTTATTTCTCCCGCGTCCGAAAAAGAGATTGATGAGTCCTCTACGATTCTGTCCAGTGGTCTGTCCGCTCCTTCGCCCACCCGTACGTTCGCGCCTTACTTGATTAAGGCGTTCTCGCCTGCTCCTCATCAGTTTGTCGACGTCCGCCCTCCGTCCCGTTAGCACGTCCGCCCGTAGTTGGCGTCAGAAGTCTCGCTCGTGCGTCAGCGTTTAGAAGTCTCGCTCGTGCGTCAGCGTCAGCGTTGTCGTCAGCGTCATTTCTCCGCGTCCGACAAGAGATTAATGAGTCCTCTACGATTTCTGTCCGTGGTCTGTCCACTCCTTCGCCACCACGCGTACGTTCGCGCCTTACTTGATTAAAGCGTTCTCGCCTCTCCTCATCAGTTTGTCGACGTCCCCCCTCCGCCGCCGTAGCACGTCCGCCACGTCAGTTGCGTGTCAGCAAAGTCTCGCTCGTGCGATGCAGCGTCAGAAAGTTTCGCTCGTGGCATCAGCGTCAGAAGTCTCGCTGCGTGCATCAGCGTCAGAAGTCCGCATTCGTGGCGTCAGCATTAGAAGTCTCGCTCGTGCATCAGCGTCAGAAGTCTCGCTCGTGGCGTCAGCGTCAGAAGTCTTTGTTGCGTGGCGTCAGCGTCAGAAGTCTTGTTCGTGGCGTCAGGCGTCAGAAGTCTCGCTCGTGCGTCAGCGTCAGAAGTCTTGCTTTGTGGCGTCAGTGTCAGAAGTCTCGCGTCGCGGCCGTCAGCGTTAGAAGTCTCCTCGTGGGCGTCAGCGTTGTCGTCAGCATTTTCAGTCAGCGTTATTTCTCCGCGTCGAAAAAGAGATTGATGAAGTCCTCTACGATTCTGGCCAGTGGTCTGTCCGCTCCTTCGCCCACCCGTACGTTCGCGCCTTACTTGATTAAAGCGTTCTCGCCTCTCCTCATCAGTTTGTCGACGTCCGCCCCTCCGCCCCGTAGCACGTCCGCCCGTAGTTGCGTCAGGTGATTCGACCGTGGCGTCAGAGTCAGAAGTCTCGCTCGCGGCGTCAGCGTCAGAGGTCTCGCTCGTGGCAGCAGCGGCAGCGGCAGATGTCTCGCTCGCGGCGTCAGCGTTGTCGTCAGCGTTTTCGTCAGCGTTATTTCTCCCGCGTCCGAAAAAGAGATTGATGAGTCCTCCACGATTCTGTCCAGTGGTCTGTCCGCTCCTTCGCCCACCCGTACGTTCGCGCCTTACTTGATTAAAGCGTTCTCGCCTCTCCTCGCTGCAGTTGTTCGACGTCCGCCCTCTCCGCCCCGTAGCACGTCGCCCGTAGTTGCGTCAGAAAGTCTCGCTCGCGGCGTCAGCGTCAGCGTTGTCGTCAGCGTCATTTCTCCCGTCCGAAAAAGAGATTGACGAGCCCTCCACGATTCTGTCCAGTGGTCTGTCCCTCCTTCGCCCACCCGTACGTTCGCGCCTACTGATTAAAGCGTTCTCGCCTCTCCTCATCAGTTCGGTACGTCCGCCCCTCCGCTCCGTACACGTCGCCCCTGTAGCTGCGTCAGAAGTCTCGCTCGTGGCGTCAGCGTCAGAAGTCTGCGCTCGTGGTGCCTTCGCGTCTTTGCTCTATAAAAAGTCCGATTTTTCCTTTCTTCTATTAGCCATAAATTCGAGCGCTTGTTCAACAGAAATTCATTGCCCGTAGTTGGACCATCGTCGCCGGTTCTTTCCGATTGGGCGTCACCATCACCATCAGCATCAGCATTAGCATCACCTGTTAAACTTCAATGATGCCTATGGCTACGGTTCTCACGCGTTCGCCCATTTCTTCACCTAGAATTTGGAATCTTTCTCTTTCTATCAGCAAGTAATTCGAGTAGTTGCTCAGCAGCATTGCCATCGGTGTCTTCGTCAGCATTATTTATTACGATTCCAACGGCGCCTGAGATTATGTTTCCTAAAACTTCACGATTTTCGCTATTTAACCTTTGAGCAATTCTCTGTTCTCACAATTAATTCGAGTATTTGCACGGCAGCATTGCCATCGGTGTCTTCGTCAGCGCGGCCGCCCGCAGCTGGACCATCCTCTATTTCAGAGGTTGTCATCGGCATCGCATTATTACTTAACTCTCAATGACGCTTGTGATTATAGTTCCTACACGATCGCGCCTTCGTTGAGCCGTCCGTTGGTCTGTCCGCCAGCGACGCGTTCGCGCCCATTGTCAGCTGTTTCAATTCTCTCAACTTCGTTGTCCGCTGTCGATGCTGGTCGGCATCGCCTGTCTGGGGATTTATGGATCCAGCGACGGCGTCTCATCTTCTGACGCAGTTGTCATCTCATCGGATGCTGTGTTACTTTCTTCTGACGCATCTGTCGTTCCCTCTGACACAGCGGTCGTTTCTTTCTGACACAGTGGTCGTTTCTTCTGACACAGTGGTCGTTTCTTCTGACGCAGCAGAAATCTCCCCTGACGCAATATTTGTCTCCCCTGCTATATTCTCTGCCTCCGCGTGAGCAAGCATACGAGCGTTACCAACGTAAGAGTGATTATCACGCTTACCTTAACCATTTTCAGCGGTTTTTTCTTCTTCGCCGTTTTGATTCTCTGTTCGCGCTCTCACGCGAGCGCACGGACAAGGCAGAAATGCTTCCCGGTGGTATCTCGCAGGTTTTTACGGTCGCAGAGTCGTGATCATTAGCCGATAGGCGCTCAGGGCGAGACAGGTTTAACGTGACATTAATGTTCGCGCATAAGCTGTCACCTGTCTGAGCAACGCTAACACTTGACATTCTCTAGTGGGGTTCAAATTGTGTCAGGAGGACATAAAGAGTAACCTCGGAGGGGAGATTTCTATGTTATCATCTTCTCTCTCCCCTCTCTCTATAAATATATGTATATATATATATATATATATATATATATATATATATTATTATTATTATTAGATACATTTAGTTATAACACGAGTAATACCACGAATTTCAAGTTGAGTCTTCTAAACACAAAAGTGTTTATGATTCAGAAATACGTCAATTATAATTAGTAGAAAACAACACCTGTGAGTAAATGCGCGCGTACGCGGAAACAAAGACGCGAATGAGCATGCTCTGCGCACTGGGTGGTACGGCGAGGCAAGGTGTTGCAACAACGTTACCGGTCCATAGACGCTGCAGCAACAGCAATACACGGTAAGGTTCGGCAACAAGACCGCAGGGACTGGTGCGGCAACAGTCTGCAGCGGCAACGACCTGCGTTAGGTTACAGGTACGGGCGTAGATATCTATCGGGTAGGATCTTACTCGACTTGTAGTGTTACGAGAATCTTCATGAAAACGCCCCCCTATGATACATATAAATCTACACATATATACATATATATATACCCCCCACAAGGGTAATACATATCTAAAAAAAGAAACAAAGCATTTGTTTATTTGTTATAAGGGTATAGGGGGATAGTTCTAGATATGGTTCATGGCTGTGTAGGATGATGATCTTGATGTGGTTGTTCTAACAGGAAAATCATAAATCAAATTACAGATGGGTTTTTCCATTGTTGGAGAAGTTGAGAAGTTGTTAATGATTTTCCCAAAAACACGATGCTGTGGACTCAGTAGGAGTTTTCTGCCTTCACATACGCGAAGCACTTCGCAAAATTTATTTGGCGGGTGATAATAACAATTAAGTCTAGACTTAATTATTAAGCTCAAGTGTAGTGTAGTGACCCGAGAAGAGGAAGAATAACAATTCGCGGGAATCACGCACACGCTGGGCATGCACCCCGTTTAATCTATTTTCGTTTGAAAATTTTGCAATCGTTTTAGACATTTTCTGACAGAGTAATTAATATGCAAAGCGATGACACACTGCCACGACAACGAATCGTACTAGATCAACGTTCGTCGACTTAT